ACAGACACACAGACACACAGACACACAGACACACACACACACACACAACGCACACACACGCACACACACACACACACACATACACACACACACACACACACACACACACACACACACACACGCACGCACGCACGCACGCACGCCCGTAGCCATTGGCTCAAGCCTGCCCTGGTGCCAGGGTGGGCAGGAACGCGCCGTGCCTCTCCTTCTCGTAGGAGAGAGCGGCTCTGTCCTGCTCCCCGTGTCGCGGCCCCTGCCATGGCGGCGTCGGGCGGCGGCACCAAGGGGATGGATCTACGGTCGGACGGCGCTGGACTGGTCATCGCGATGGCCGTCCAAGGCGCTGCTCAGGGAGCGGCGGCGGGCGGCGCCTCGCGGCAGGCGATCGCGGCTGCCGTGGCCGCAGCGCTGCGCACCGCCTGGGCGCTCTTGGCGGACGGCGGCTCCGAGGAGGACGCCGAGCTCGCTATGCGCTGGCAGGCCATGGAGCCCGCCATGCGCCAGCAGCTGCGGGGCGTGCAGGCGTGCGGCGCAGCCCGCGCCAGGCGCAACGTCGGGGCGCACGTGGTCCTCGGCAAGGGCGTGGAGGCCCTGCGGGAGGCCCTGGTGCGGCCGCAGCGCGCCCAGCGTGGCGGACGCTGCGGGCCCCGCGTGCCGGCGCAACCGGACCTGGCCGAGGCGGGCGGCGGCGGCTCGACCCCGCCCTCTCCGCCCATGGTGCCGAGCGCGGCGGTGGCCACGGAGGTGGGCGGGAACCCCTTCGACGACCACGCCGACGACACCATGCTGGAGGGGTCCGTCGGCGACGGCGCGGAGCTGGACGTGAACGTGTGCAAGGGCACCGACCAGGTCGTGGACAGCTCCGAGGCGCGCGTGGACGCGAGCGAGCAGGAGCACCAGAGCCCCTTCGAGGAGGACACGGTGCTGGGCGAGGTCCCGCCCTTCCCGCAGCTCAGCGCGGCGGTGGGCGAGGAGGCCGTCGGAGGCCCCTTGGAGAGTATCGTCGGCGCCGAGCTGCAGGGTCAGGAGAGCGAGGAGGCGACGAACGACGACGACTTCGTTCTCCCCTCGATCCTCGCCAAGATGGAGGAGTCGATGGAGGCCCAGCGGCGGTCCCAGGCCAGCCTCGTGGAGGACCTGGCCAAGTTGCGTGCCCTCCGAGCGCAGGAGCTATCCGTGGCTCTGCGCAATGGGGTGGCGGGCGCCGTCGACGAGGCCAAGGTGCGCCTTCGGGCCGCCGTGGATCGGCTCCGTCTGGCCGAGGCCGCCTTCGACAACAAGATGGCCACCTTCCAGCGGCAGTGCGAGGTCCTGCAGCGGGCGTCCCAGCGGCGGTGACGGTCTCGCTGAGGGCTGAGGCCGTGGAGGGGTCAGCAGCAAGAGTGCCAGCTGCGTGGATGGCCTCGCGGATTGCTGGGATGGCCGTTGCGCCTCTGCCCGTCGTCGGGGTGCGGGTTCCGCCTCTGAGAGGGCCCCAGCGGTAGAGACAATGCCCCCCTTGACGCGGTGTCCGCCGTGGCTGAGGGGCCTGAGGGGGCGGTCCCTCGGGGTGCCTGGGCCCGCATTCGCCGTTGGCGGGGCCTGGGCACGGCGCGTGTTCTCGCTTTTCAGCCCCCCTTGGCACCAGGCTGAGGGGCCTAGGGTGGGGCGCGGCCTCGAGGGGGCCCTTTCGCTCTGCACCCTGGGGAGTTCGGCGGGGGCGCTGCCCGCGGCTCGGCTCCGCACAGGCTCGGCAGGCGATGACCTTCGCTCGAGAGCCCAGCGCACGGGCCTGGCGAGGTGTAGACGCCCCAGGCTGCCGGTGCACCAAAACCAACGCACGCACGCACGCACGCACACACACGCACACAAACACACACACACACACAAACACACACACACACACCGATGGGAACCATGTTGGCTTCAAGTTGTCAAATGGTACCGAATCCTGCTCACCACGGGGGGGGTCCCCGACGACGGATCGGGGAAGGGGGGGGGGGGGCTTGGGGAGATCCAGCGGCTCACCTCCCAATCTTGCGCTTCTTATTGCGAAGCTCCGTGGCCCGCTCCGCATAGGCCTCGCGATGCTTCTTGGCCTTCTCTGCAGCGTCGGTGAACGCAGTCTTGAGGGACTCCTTGACCTTGTCACCTACTCCTTCTCAAATGCGTGGAAGCTGCAACGATCTGCAATGAACAACTCGGGCCCGTCGAGATCGAAAACCTCGCCGAGCTCAATCTCGAAGCCTGGCTCCTCGCCATCCTCAGACAGCAACTTTTCCGGGTGAGTGACGCTCTCGTGCTTGGCGGTCGGCAGCGCCCTGGCAGCGGCGCGCTCAGCTGCCTCCGCCACCTTGGCCTGCGCCTCTTGCTCAGCCAAGAGACGCTTTTCAACGTGGCGATCTGCCGCCCTCCACCTGCTTCTCCGCGCGGAGCAGGGCGTCCAGCGCAGCCTTCAGAGCGCGGCTGGCATGGCGCTAAGCCACTTCCGCAGCTTGGTACTCGGAGGGGGCCCGCTGGGCTCGACGACGGGCTGCTCGTGCGGGGCAAGGAGGGCCTTCGTTTGGGGCTCAGGCAGCATGGCAGCCAATTCCCGCATCTTGGCCATAGCCTCAGGCGGTAGAGGGCCAGAAGTCTGGGGGCGCACCGCGATGGCCCCAAGCCCCTCGCCCTCAGCTCCTCCGACCCGCGCCCCCGGGGCAAGTGCAGCATGGGAGTGCGTGCGCTCGGGCTTCTTGCGCACGATGTGGCCCCGCGTCCATCCCGAACACGCTGCGCGCCAGCTCCGAGGGCGCTGCTGCCTGCAGCGACCACGACCAGCACGAGTGTTTCCTCCCTTCTTCGAAGGCCAGCGCAGCAGGTTCCCAGGGCCTGGCTTGACACCTGCTGGAAATTATGGCGCGCGCGAAGGGGGGGCCTTGACTGCAACCAGACACAGTGCATCTTTGCATTCAAGAGGTACGCGCTGTGTTTTCGCACAGTCGGAAACAGAGGCGTCGTTCGTGACAGCGGCGGCCTGCCCCGCGCGGCTGGTTGCGGCAGGTCCTGGAGAGGATAGCCAACCGCGCGCCGAAACGCTTGAGACGGACTGGGCCAGGGGCGCCCGAAAGAGTGGGCATACTCAGTCCTAGACCAGCAAGGGGACCAAAGGAAGTTGCGCTGTCAACTGCATCTCGGCCACCCTGGCGCGGCACAGCCGCAGCCAGGCGAGCCTGAGGCGGGCGTGCAAAGAATGCCTTGCATGTTGCACGAATATGGACACGATTGGCAAAATATGGGTGATCAGCGGAAAGTCCCTCCAGGAGCTCGTCTTCGGTGGCGCGGCATTTCTCCCAGCGGTCAGAGAGGTAGCAGTGGTGGCTTTGCCAAAATGGGGGCTTCGCAGGTGCGCTCTGATTATCCACGAGCTCCTAACGCAGCTGTCGGGTGGCTCACACCCCTGGGCCGCGGTGAATGTCCGCCCGAGGAAAAGGGTGCAATCGCCCGGCTTAGCTGCGGTTGCCGGCGGTGTCGCGAAAGAGGAGGTAGTTGTTTTCTCTTTCTTCGAAGGCCGAAGCAGCGGGCTCTCATAGCCTGGCTTGACACATTCTGGCAATATTGGCGTGTATGAAGGAGTCCCAGAATACAACCAGACACAGTGTATTTGTGCATTCAAGAGGTACGCGCGGTGTTTTCGCACAGTCGGAAACAGAGGCGTCCTTCGTGACAGCGGCGGCCTGCCCCGTGTGGTTGGTTGCGGCAGGTCCTGAAGATGATGGCCAACCACGTGCCGAAACGCTTGAGACGGACCGGGCCAGGGGCGCCCAAAAGTGTGGGCACATTCAGTCCTAGACCAAAAAGGGGGACCAAAGGAAGTCGCGCAGTCACTTGCTTCTCGGTGGCCCTTGCGCGGCATCGCCGTTGCCAGGCGAGCCTGAGGCGGGCGTGCAAAGAATGCCTTGGATGTTGCACGAATATGGATATGTTTGGCAGAAGACGGTATGCCCTTCCACTTGAGGCCAGGCCGCCTCATCATCGGGCAGCTCAGCGAAGCGGACCCAGAGCTTACGGTGACGGGCGCAATCAGACACAGATTGGGGCACCATGAAAGATGTAGGAGAGAATTCTGATTTCCAGGAGGGCGCCGTTTCAACCAACATTTCCCGCGACGTCCCCGCCACTTTGAGCCATAATGGCTTGAGCCAGATATGTTGCATGATGATGATGAAGGGGGAGGAATAACACATACAAATCTGAGCGCAGGCTTGGCAGAGGGCAGACCAGTAGTTTGAGTGTTCTCACGCATGTGTTGCTAGTCCTGTTGTGTGCAAGATAGTGCAGCCAGCACGCGCAGCATTCTGAGGATCTCCTCGATCGAACGGGTTCAATCTGGCCGAGGGACCGTTTCACAGTTGGAGCTGGCACATTCCCGATTCATCTGCGTCCTAAGGAAGTTCCAGGTTCAGGAGAGGAGGAGGAGGAGGAGGAGGAGGAGGAGGAGGAGGAGGAGGAGGAGGAGGAGGAGGAGGAGGAGGAGGAGGAGGAGAGGAGGAGGAGGAGGGGGAGGGGAGGAGGGGGAGGAGGGGGAGGATACGAAGGAGGCGGTGGATGGAGGGAGCAACAACCAGATTTGTTTAGCAATCTCGTCCAGATCCCGCATTCTCATTTCAACGCGGTGCGTCCGCGTTGATTTGTCTTGCGCCCAGTGCGCAAGCCCATATCAAATAGCACCATGCCGGCCACATGCGCGTGCCGCCACGCGTGCGTGTCGAAATCCTTACCGAACAATTTGTTCTCGAAGCATGTGAGGATACAGTCAACCCCTTAGTAATCGTGAGCAACTTTCCAAGGTTACCCTTGCATTCTCCTCCTCTCGGCCCATCCTTGGCCGCTTTCGCTGGCTGCGTCCCGCTCGCAACATGGCGACATGGCCTTCCAAGGCCCTTGCATCCTTCGTGCATCCTTATCATACGGGCTGACTGTAGAGCTCATCGATTGCTTCCTCCAGCCTCCGGCCTCCGACGGCCCTCCCCCCCCCGCAGGCGGGGCGTGGAGTCCACGCAGGATCTCCTGTCGGGCAGCCGGGACCTCACGATGCTGGGCGGCGGCGCCGGCACCAGGACGGGGCGGCGGCCGACCCGGGCGGGGGAGGCGCGGTGCGGTGGGGTTCCGAAGGGAGGAACGAGGAGGAAGGACGACGAGGAGGGAGAGAGGAATGAGGAGAAAGGACGAAAAGGAGGAGGAGGATGAAAAGGATGGGGGAGGAGGAAGGACGATGCGGATAAAGGAGAACGGACGAGGAGGAGGAGGAGAAGGAACAGGAGGAGGAGGAGAAGGAAGAGGTCCCTCTTCATAGGCCCCTGCAAGGGTTCATTTTCACTGAAGAATCTGCTCCGTTGGAAGACAGTCGTTTGAACATCCAGAACGCTGCTCGAACATCACTCTTGGGACTTCAACGCTGCGAATCACCGTTACTGTCGCGTCTTGACGATCCTGAATCGCGCCAGAACGCCATTCCTCGGACTTCAACACCGCAAGTCAACGTGATTGTCGCACCCTGATATTCCGGCATCGTGCCAACACGCCATGCTTGGGACGTTAACGAAGAGAAACTTTGGAACCGGTGTGAACTCTCAAGACGAATCTGCGCGGCGGTAAAGCGAGAGCCCCGTTTTGTAGGCGGGCCGCCTTCCACCCGAAAAACGTTTGCATTCTTCTAAAATGAATGCGCGCGGCGGTAATGCGAGAGACACATTTTGAAAGCTGGCCACCTTCCATTCGTTGACCTGTCGCATGGTTTTACGACGAATGTGCGCACTGGTGCGTCGAGAGCCAGTTTAAGAGAGCGGACCGCCCAGCATCTGCGAAGTTCTGGCAAGTTGTTTAAACAAACGTGCGTGGCGTCGGGGCGAGAGTCACACCAAGAAAGCGGACCGCCCTCGACCCGTGAAGCTCTGGCTACTTGTTGAAACAAGTGGGCGCGGCGTTACGGCGAGAGCCACATTTTGTAAGCGGACCGCCCTCCATCCGTAAAGGTTCAGGATCGTAAATTGTGAGGAGCGTTCATGCGAAACGCCCGGCCAGCCCGTTTTACCGGCTTCGGGGTGCGACAGGGAGGCGTTGTTTAGAAGGGAAATAGGTGGATGAGGATGAAGGACGTCACGGAGAAAAGTGTAGGAGGAGGAGGGCGAGTGTAAACCCTAGACCCATCAACAATATGGCAATAAACCCTCCCTCCAAGTTCCCTCCGGTTGCCCCCATACCAGGGTTCATGTTGTCTGAAGGAACTGCTCCGTTGGAAGACAGACGTTTGGAAATCCAGAACGCTGCTCGAACATCACTCTTGGGACTTCAACGCTGCGACTCACCGTTACCGTCGCGTCTTGACGATCCTAAATCGTGCCAGAATGGTTTTCCTGGGCCTGCCACGGCAAACGTAGAGAACAGCAAACCCTGGTCCCACAGCCTGGTGACCCCGCAAGGCGGCCGGCGGATCTCGCAACGACGTTCGCTGACGGACTGCCATTGAAACGTGGGGGGATTCTCGAACCAGCTATCGGGCCCGAGGCGGCGGCGCGAACTCCGGCCCATGTGCCCAACAACAGGGCGAACGCATTTGCGCGCATCGGAAAGGGGAAACGAGTTATTGAAAAGTAAGCTATTTCCAAGCCAGCGGGCACTGGTTCAACTAGTGGCGCTGCGGCAACGAAGGACGGCACTGATGCTCTGCGGGCGAAGCATGCAAAAGCTACGGCTACGGTTTCAAGACAAGCTCCGGCAAACAAAATTCGTACCCTGAGCGGCTCATACATGCATTCTGTCGCAGCGGACATAGCACAATCGGTGATCCCATGAATTGTGGCGACACTAACACAGCTGCTATTTGTTACCCTGAAAAAAGACATGGCCACTGACGCAGGGAAAGAACAGGCACTCCATGACATCAAGACGTCTAAGGGTAAACATATGTATTTCTCTTTGGGCCCTTGTATCCGTTGCGCTGGAGGGCTTCCATGGCAATGCGTGAAAGAGCCCATGTACCATCGAACAGGAGATCGCCGATCACTGAGAGACGCCTGAGAGGGATACCAACCCTCTTTAGACAGTGCGCTGGTTATCCCGCAAGATGGCTCTATTTGCATATAATTGCAATCGGCATGCCAGCATTGGCGAGACCCGCAAGTGCGAGACGTCCTCCATGAAAACATGTTCCATCAATGTAGATTACACGGGCTCAGAAACACGCGAGGGAATTTCCTCAGGCAGATTCGGACTGGCGCGCCCGCGTCTGCTCAAGTTGCGAACGGACTGCGCGCATGTTTCGACTGGGCACATGATCGTGTCGAAACTGGAGGAGCGAATTGTTAATACCGATCCCTTTGCGACACATATACATATTGTTTTCGCCCGTGCCTCGCAGACATCTCGCGCCGCGTCACCGCGCCCGCGACGCGCGCGCCCCGCCGCTGCCATGTTGACCCAAGGGCTTGCAGTCACGACGATTGTCGGGCCGCAAACGTGGCCGCCCCATGGCCGGCCGCGACTCCCTCTTTCCTGCTGCTCTGCTGGGCCGCCTTTAATTTGTGCAGCATTGATTCGCATCGTGCATGAGAGATCGTCTGCGGTGAGCAAACGCGCTCAGTCCACGCGCGCGGCCCCCATTTGATGAGACCTACCTCAGCGCGCACCAGGGTGGAAGGGTCGATCAAATGGCACCGGGTAGAAGAAGAAGACTAATAATGCATGAATAATACACATGACCGGTTTTCATGGTCGGCCCTATCACATTGCCAAATCACGACTGGAAAGTGATAAGCAAGAGTGCGTTGGTACGCGTCCTTGGCTCAGACGCTGATGCAATTGGCGTTCCCATGGAGGAACCTGACCGACGGCGCGGGGCACTGCTGAGACTGACGCAGCTCCGACGGGGCAGGTGCTTACCGACTGTTCCCGACACTTTCACGCGGCGGCGAACCCGCGAACCTTTCTGCCTCGGCGCAGCTGGGGGGGGGGGGGCGGCGGCGGCGGGGCCCCCCCGCCGGGGCCGCGAGGGGCGGGGTTTAAAGTTTCCGAATCCACGGGCGCGGGAGAGGACCACGCGCGCGCCGCCCGCGTCCCTTGGAACGCTTTGCGGCGGGCGCGTGCCGCGAGCGAATCTTCGGAGGGGGCCGCGGCAACAGAAAACGTTGCCGACCCTCTGTGGAATGGCCTGCTACCGTTCGCGGTATCTTGAAGCTGAATGTTGAGGCGACGAACCCAGACATTCCTGGTTTCGGTGATCTATCATTCTATGAGGAAAGCCAGGCCATCATTGTGATCGCTGGGGAGAGTGCCCATATTTGGATGTCGTTCAAGGGGGGGGGGGGGGGGGCCTGGCGCAGCGTGCCGAACGGGCAGAGATCCGCATCAGTGCACGCCGCCAATGCGCAATACAAAACACGACGCAGCTCTGGGGAATACGCATGAGCATTGGAACATGATTTCGCTGATCGCTGGGGATTCGACTGCGTCATTTTGCCGGCGCGGCATGTCCAAGTCGAAGACCAAACCCAGGGTGAGCAATCTTTCGGGGGAGATGACATACGCACGCAAACAAGCGGCCACCGATGCTGCATCCGATCGTCCCACAAGACAGCACATGCAGAACACAGTGGATCAGTACACGGGAGTTCCCACACTTGGAAAATCTACAATGTCCATCGCGTTGCCCATGCTTTTTTTTGTGGACCTGGCGCATCAGAAAGCAAGGCGCGCTCGCTTGCAGGCACAGGGTTCAACGACCGTACTCGGTCCGCCGCATTCGCGGCGCATGCAATGAAGAATGCGAGGCTTGTTGTCGATGAGCTTGTTACGCGTGCACCAGGCAACGCCGTGTGTTTTTCCCCAGTGGGAGGCGGCAATGCATGTTGCAAGGCGGGTTGGCGGAGGCATGGGCCCCGGAATGTCGTGGCGCGACGTGTCCACGCTGCTTCGCGCCGGTATGAACGGGTGGATTGAACAATTCCAGGCTGCGAACTCTTGTCCGAAGATTGCAATTTCAGACGGCGCGGCACTGCGCGAGAAGGCGATGAGAGCGACGATCCGCGCATTGACGAGAAGTGTTTCACGGGAAGGCCTCACATGTTCGCAGTGCATAATATGAAGATAAGTCGGCTCGCATTTTGCACGCGCAGCCTTGCGTCGGCTCAACCACCGGGGGCGGCCGTCCACAGGTGGGGCGCGAAAAGACGCGGCGCGGCATCGATGGCAGCCGCGTCGGATGAATGGAACGCAAACCCAGGGGGCGCACTTTCATCGACCCTTGGCACCGAGCACTTCAAGGAGCCGCAAACGAAGGAAGATGCCCCCTGTCTCCCGGGGGCGTATTTGCCCAACCTCTCACTTAATTTCCGAACCTATGTCGACGGCGATGAGCCGTGGATTTCGAAGCGGAAGGGGCAGTTTTATTTTTTGCCGCGCCTGAGCTTTGCATTCGTTCCAGGCGTGTCCCCCGACGGCGTGGAACTTGGCGCGCGCGAGTGACGTGGCCGCGCAACGCGCAATTGATCACGCGCGGTTGAAACGTCGCGGACTGTCGCTACCAGACCCCTCTCACCACTCAGTTGCGGCGCATGCAGTGGAAAACAGTGCGCCATTCCAGAGCCGCGTGGCGCCGCTGAAGGGGCAGATGGCAGCGCAACGGCAGCCGGCGACCCCGTCGACCAGGACCGCACAACGCCCGGGGTCTAGTAGCACTGATTCTCCGGGGAGAACCCAAATAAAGCCGGCCGAACTTGCGGGGGGGGACTCCCGCCGCGTGCGCACCGCGGACAGGAAGAGGACCCACATGCCGGGAAGCAATAATAACGACAAGGTGACAGTTTGACCGTGCTCTATATATAGTATATAGTTGTTTTGCTGCTGATCTACAAAAAGCAGGACCCTACGACTACATGTATGATCGGCCTCCTTGCCAGCATTGGCAACGCGTCGTTCAGCATGGGGGGGAAGCAGTGTTTCTCTCATGAACGCCGAGCAGTTAAAGGACAACCGCCTGTACAGTGCGACGAGTCGTTGACCTGGTGAAACATGCGAAACGCGAGTAAGGGGAGCGGAAAAGGCAAGCGTGGGTATCCACGCCGGCCCCGCCGCGACACCAGAGAACTGTAAGTTTTGGGATAATCAACATCCGGCACGGCATTTCTGGCCAAATGATTGGATGTTGAGAGCGCGAAGACTCCGAAGCCTGAAGCGGATTGCGTGATTCCGCTCTGGGCGCGTTTCTTTGCTCTCCACATCGCGCTTCAACGAACGATGATGCATCCTGCGTGGACAGATTGGACTGGGCCGCCGCCACGGTGAAGCCTTTCACAGACAAACATTGTTGCACCACGCTGACAGCCCCATTCATGGTCGACTCTGCCAGCAAGGACGAGATAAGTGCACGCAGCCTGTTTCGCTTCACACATGGGACGCCCGTCCTACACCTTGGGGCGTTCGCCGAGAGTAACAGATCGCTGCCGCCAGATCCCAGCTGCGGAGGAGGAATCCAGCAACAGCAGAACGGGGCTTACAGTTTCGGTGCAGATCCCAATCCCCTTGCTCAACATCTGGATTATTCGATGGCGGAGGGAATTCTCTCGGACGGAATCGGGTGGACGCAGAGATCAGCTTGATTAGCTCCGAAGAAAATGCAGCATCGATCAGAAGCCACGGAACGAAACCGCAGATGCGCCACAAAGATCCAACACACACTGTGTTGTTAGAGCTTCGATTGTATGCGTGGATTCCTGCTGCGCTCCATGTCTCTGGTGGAACCCAGGCGTTGTTAAGGCGCGAAATTCCCGCTGGAGAAACATTGGGCATGGATTCCGAGGTCGAATACGTGCGGAGACAGGAGGAATGCGATAATATTCGCGCCGCGCAGGCTAAATCGGCACCTGAGCTCAGCGATTCGCTGAGCAAAGATAGACTTGAGCGTTCTCCATATTTCGACCCACGTAAGGAACGTGATCACATGATGACACTACTGTTCGACAAAAAATCAGTTGTCGTATACTTTTATCATTTGAGAAAGTCACGGAATTGCCGTATCTAACCCGCTTGACCGCCGACAAAAAGAACAACATCGCCCCCGTAACTTATTTGTGGGCGCTCTGGGTTTCGGCTTCCTCCGCGAATGCAGCAACAAGAGGCGGATAGATGATCCAGCAGGAGGCGGATCGAGGACCCAGGATCAAACAAGGATCGAGGGCATCTGGCCGTCTGGGCCACACTCCGGGCTCCCAGAGGCTTCCAGAGACTTCGGAGGGAACAGGAGGCAAGAGAGCAATGAGGCGGTAGAGTTTGATGAGGATGTGGGAAGAGGGAGGAGGGAGGAGCAAGACAAAGAAAGAGAGAGAGAGAGAGAGAGAGACACAGAGGAAAACCCTCCCATCCTGCGCTCCTCCCGCCCATCCCCTCCACCCCACCCCCACCCCACGCCCAGGAGGAGGGCCCGTGGCAGCGGTTTCTTCGGCGCCAGCGGCGGCTCGGACCCCCTCGACGCCCTGAAGGCCCACGTGACCCAGCAGCATCAGGCGACCAGCGCTGAGCAGGAGGCCGAGGCGGAGGCCCAGCGCCAGTTCGAGCTCGAGATGCAGGCGGCCCTCGGCGTCGCCGGCCTGTCGACTGCGGCCGCTGCCGGGTCGCGGGGGCCTCCGGCGCACGCGTCACGCGGGCGCACGCCGGCGCACTCCGGGGAGCCCAGCGAAGGCGGCGGTTCGGACCTGAACGACCTGCTGGACAATATCGAGGGCAACATGAGCGGCTCTGCGGCCGCGCGCCAGCCCAGGCCTCGGATAGGAGGGAAAGATAGTGTCAGGAGGTCATTCGTCCTGCTGGGCCCCCCCAACAGCTCTTGGCCGGCAATGGATTCTGCACGTCTGCCGGTCCACCCTGTTCTTGTGCTTGTCCTTGTCCTTGTTCTCCTCCTCTGCCTCCTTCTCTCCTCCTCCTTCTCCTCCCCCTCCTCGCCCCCCTCCTCTTCCTCATCCTTCTCCTCCTCCTCCTCACGCCAAGATACGGTCGATCCTTCTCCTCCTCCTCCGCCTCCTCCTCCCCTTCCTCCTCTCCTTCCTCCTAGACGGCGGCGGCGGCGGAAGAAGTATTTGCGGGTTGACATTGTCGGGTGTGGGCAACCTTCAATTCGCCCCGAAAGTTAGCCATTTGCTCATTCTTGATGTGGTGGGGGGGTCTAAAGAAATAGTGAGGTTACCGATGACGCTGCTCGCTCTAGAGAGCCCTCGCCGCCACCCCCGGGTTCGCCTCCAAGTTGCGGTGAGGACACACCCCAGGAGAGTTTCGTGGGAGTAGCGGCATCGGCATCGGCATCCTTTTCTCTCCCCAAGGCCGGCGCGCGGTACCCCGCTGGACGACGACAGCGGGGCGCCGTCCCGCTCCCGCACGCCGCCGGTAGACGACGAGTTCGAGCGCGCCTACGGCGGGCCGCCCAGGTCGCGAGCCGCGCAGGCCGAGGATGTGTCGCCGGGCCGCCCGCCGATCCCTGGCGGGCGCAGGGCCCGCCCCAGCGTCCTCGGGGACAGCGCCTCTGGGCTGGCGAACCTCTCCGCCGTGCGCCAGGGCTCCAACGCGCCGTCCGAGGCCGAGGGCTCGCTGGGCGGCCCCGACGCGAGCCCGGGCACGGGCTTCTTCGGCAGCGACGCAGGCGGCGCGCCCTTCGGCGGCGGCACGCCGGGCCCCTCAGCCTCAGCCTTCTCGGTGGAGCTCGACGACAGCCGACTCCGGCGCAGGACGATCGGTAAGCCCAAGGCGAAGGCCAAAGCCGCCCCCGAGCCCTCGCCGGCCTCGAGCCTCCCGGCGGCGGCGGCGCAGCCGGAGCCCGCGGCAGCGGAGCCCGCGGCGCACCGAGCCCCCGAGCCCGCAGCCAGAGCCCCCGCCGCCGCGCCGACGGCCTCTGCGATGTACGACGACGACGACGACGAGGACGACGGCGAACTGCTGGACCTGCCCATGGGCGACTCGAGCGGCCCAGCGGCGCGGCTGGCGCAGGCGGGGCCCGCGGCCGCCCTCTCGGCGCCGCCCGCGCGGCCGCCGCCAGCGGAGCCGGCCGCTGCCGCGGGCGAGGACGCGGAGCTGCCGGAGTTCCTGCTCGGCGGAGCCCGCGAGCGGCGGCCCCGCCGCGGCGAGGCCACGCCGCCAGGGTCTTCCGCGCCCGGGACGGCGTCGAGCCAGGCCCGCGGCGGGGGCCTGGACCTCCAGAGTCTTGAAGGCCGCAGTCTGCGGAGAGGCTGCTCGCAGAACCATCGACGTCCAGGCAGGCTGTGTCAGGTCCCCAGCGTGGTCAACGAGCCATCTAGTCGGCGCTGTGAAAAGCAGCTGGTCCCCCGGTAGCTCCCCGTGTGGAACGAATCAGGATGTCGCAGGTCTGGGGAGGAGGTCAGAGGCAACATTAGAGGAGGATGGGCTCAGGGGACGACGCATCGACCCCAAATCACCCTTTCATCGCCAGTAAGGGGCCCGATAGTCCGTCCCTTGGAAGTGCTCCGATGGAAGACAGCCGTCTGAAAATCCCGAAACGTACCAGAACACCTCCCTGGGACTTAAACGCCGCGAATCAACGTTCCTGTTGCGTCCTAGCGATCCTGAATCGTGCCAGAAAACGATTCCTCGGACTTCAACACCCGGAATCAAACATACGTATTGTGCATTGACAGTCTTACATCCTGACAAACCACCATTGTTGGGACGTCCACCATCCAAATCATTGAAATTGCTGTAAAATTTTAAGGCGCATGTGCGCGGCGCTGAGGCGAGAGCCACGTTTTGAACATGAAGCACCCTGTATCCGCGAAACCCTTGCTAACTTTCAGGACGAATGTGCGCAGCGCTACGGCGATAACCACATGTTGAAAGCCACCCGCCCTCCATATGCGAAACTGCTGTAAAGCTTAAGCTTGAAGTGAGGAAGTGTCAGGCGAAATGCCCAGCCTGCCCTACCGACACGTCTCGGGGTGTGACAGGGAGGAGTGATCGATCAGGAAAAGCGATGGAAGGAGGAAGGGAGAAGTCGGAGTAGGAGCAGGATGAAGACGACAATCACGACGTCGACGACGACTACAACAACCACAATCAGGACGAGGACGATGACGAGAAGGAACAGGAGGCCCAGAAGGAAGAGGGCGAGGGTTCCATTTATTTAATCGCTTCGCTCATTCCGCCGGCCCATATTGTCGCACCGTTGTGGGCTAGCCGAGTTTTGGGGGCCGTTTTGGGGCCTCTTGGGGCCTCTTTTGGGCCTCTTGGGCGCCTCTTGGGGCGTCTTGGGGGCCTCTTGGGGGCCTCTTGGGGCCTTTTTGGGGCCTCCTGGGCGCCTTCTGGGGCGGAGGGCTCGATTTTTCAGTTCTCGGTTCCCCTCTTGAGCCCCTCTTGGGCCCGTCTTGGGGCCTCTTGGTCCGTCTTGGGCGGCACTTGGGCCGTCTTGGGGGCCCTCCTGGGCCGTTCCGGGGCCGTCTTGGGAGCCTCGTGGGCCGTCTTGGAGCGGTCTTGGGGGCCTCTTGGGCCGTCTTGGAGCGTCCGGAAGCCGAAAAAGCCAGAACACAAAAAACATAGAAAAAACAAATGAAAATCAACGATTTTGGCCTCTTGGGGCTCTCTTCGGAGGCCTCTTGGAAGGCTCTTGGGGCGTCTTGGAGGCCTCTTGGGCTGTCTTGGGGGCCTTTTGGGCCGTCTTGGGGTCATCTTCGGCGTCTTCGAGCGCTCTTTGGGCGTCTCGGGGGCCTCTTGGGCAGTCTTGGGGGCCTCTTGGGGCACTCTTGGCGCGCTCAGGGCGGCCTGAGAGGCCGCACCCAGAAGGAAAACCATCTCTGAGTTGAACCGGGCGGGACCTTGCCAGGCGGCGGGCGGGGTACTTTTCGCCGGGGGACCCCCAGGGGCCGCCCCGCGCGCGCGAACTAGTACAATACAATTGTTAACCAGTTACCGGAGATCTTAGCACGCCTCTGGCCCGTTGGGCCGGCGAATTTGAAGGAAGAAGAGGCCACGGTAAAGGTGCACAATTTTAGACGGTGGTTTTGGCTAGCACCCTTACCTCTTCCGCCCGGTGTGGCCATTCGGGGTCGAGGCCGCTGCATGTGTTCCCACCAAGACACACAGGTCTTGCATTATTGCAATATCACATTGCGTCCTTACAGTTACATCGGAAAGGGCGAGTCGGAGCACGAAGTGGAGGAGCAGTGCAAAAATGAGGGGCATGATAATTTCAGTGGGAGTGGCAGTTCGGAGGCCCCTCGTGGGAAACAAAACAGCAGTAAACGCCTGTCACGGGGGGTCTTCGGGGGTTTTCTGGGGACCCCCCCCAACAAAAACAGGATTGCAACGCCGTCGATGGTTTTGGGGTATTTTTCTTCCCGCCATGCCCCGTGTCCAGATCAGGCCACGTGGCAAGACAGCCTCCCGAGGAAATGTATCCCTTGTGGCCGTCGGCCACCCCCGCCACCAGGCATGGGCCCTCCGCTCCGGCCATGCCCCCAGGAAACCCTTTGGGAGGGGGCCAGGGGGGGGGGGGGGGGGGGGGCCGAAGAAGGGCGGTGTCCCGCCGCGAGGCCGCCGCGGCCCTCGCGGCGGACGACGACGTGGCGCTGCCAGACTTCCTGCGCGGCGGCGGGGCCCGCGAGCGGCGCGGCGCCCGCGTCGCGCCGCCGGCGGCGGCCACGCCGTCGTCGGCCCAGGCCTCGGCCCCTCTCGACAGGTAGGGGGGAGGTTGCAGAGAAGGCTCCTGCAGCTCGGCAGCCAGCCCGAGGGGGCCGCCCGAGTGGAGCCGGGGAGGTCGGGACAGCCTCGCAGCGCAGGGGGGCACTAGGCCAAAGAGCTCTCAAGCTGTGATTGCGCAAGTTTCCCGCCTGGTTCTAGGGCGTGCCTTGCGACTTCTAGATTCGAGCCTCGGTGGCTACGGTTCGCATCGGCTCGTCTCAGAAACGCCTTGTTTAGTATTGTATGTATGATCCGTTGTGCATTTTGAGCTCTTCAGAAGCTACCAGCGCTAACAAAAAACACGCGACGGTGTTTTAGCGTTATCGGCTCCGTGTTTTTAGCGTTTTTAGACCCGTCGTTGTGGATCGTTGCTTTGTTGCGTCTGTTTGTTTTCTGGTCGAAGGCTGTTCCTGGTCTTCCCTGCAGGCTTCGCTCCCGCTCGTTTCTGCCGCCGTTCTCCCGAAACAGGCCCGGAGGCCCAGTGGCCTCAAGAGGGGCAATCGGCCATCGGGCCCGCCAGATTGCACGCCAGGAGAAGGACTGCACGCCAGGAGAAGGAACTGAGCACGTCGTAGATGGCAATGTTAACAGTGCAACCCGCTGATTTGACAACGCGAAAAGAACGTTGCTGAAAACGGAAAAAACAATGAGTCGTTGTTGTAGCGTTTGTAGTTTGATTGTTGGGACCCAAGAGCGCCAAACAAATATGTCCAACACGCCGAGTTAGAAATGGTAAGGAAAAAACGCCTTGTGCACAATGATGCATTCATACGTACCTGCACACCTCCAGCAAGTCATGCAAATGATTTGCAATCGCGAGCTGCAGTTGCAGTGCTGCTCGGCTCGGCAACGAGGGCTCCCCATGGGGTTGGGGCCGCGAGGGGGGAGGGCGAGGGGGTTGCGCCCGCCTGGCGCAGGGACCCCCCCGTCCCCCCTGGCGCCGCCAGGGGGGTCCGGCGCCGACCAAGCAAGTCCGCGCGGTCCTTCGACAGCATTCCTGCTGTGCCGTTTGGGGTGTTTCCATGGGTGAGGGCGACGAGGGCGAGGACGACGAGGGCGACGAGGGCGACGTCGGCGAGGGTCACGTCCTCCCGCGCAGGGGCGCTCGCCGGCGGCGACCGCGTCCGAGGCCACGTCGCGCAGGGTCGGCCTGCCCGCGGCCTCGGTCTCGGCGGGCATGGACCTGGGCTTCACTGCGGAGGATCGCCTGGGGCTTTCAGAAGCGGCCCGGGGCAGCGCTGGCTCCGGGGCAGGAGCCGGGACTCGCGGGGACTCCGCTTTGAGAAAAAGAGGCGTCTGATTTTTGGGTATGTGGCGACGACGAAGCCATGCAAGCGGTGGCGAACGTGGCTGAGAGGCGCGACACCCGCCTGCGCTTGGCGCAGGCGGGGCATTCCAGAAACGGCCTTCGAGGGATCGAAAGGTCGGCATCTTTTCTCGGCGATCGCAGGCGGAAGTAAAGCAGGGGCAGTTCCGCCAGCGGAAGGCCGGCGGAAGTAGGCGCATCAGCAGGGAAGTATTGCGACAAACACAAACTTTCACCAACACAAGTTTGGAGATCCACGCCGATTTCTTGGCTCGGCGGTGGACCTCCCCAGGCGGCGCGGCACTCCGCGCCGACCTGAGAATTACGAACGCTTACGTTTGCGTGGTCTGGTGTGGTCGTTTCTGTACAGTGGAGACCCATGCCAAGAAACACCCTGCTTGACTTCAGGGTGCCCTGGGTTTCTTGGGTTTCGATGGTCTTGCTATGTAATGCGTGACGGTCCCACACCAAAATCAATGGACGTCCTGGGGTCTCAGGGTTGCATTTCTTGTGGTCGGGCCCCTTCTATACTAATCAGCGGTGGCGGCATCAGCAGTGAAATGATCGCGAAGAATGCCTGCTGCCGCAGCAGCGGAAGCAACCTCCGAATCTAAATGTCTCTACGTTAGCACTGTAGGTTCTCGTCGTGTCGACCGGCGGCGACCCTGCCGCTGGCGTTCAACCAGAATCGGTCGATGTTGAACGATCTGACGTATCAGCAACGGCCGAGGTGTCAGGAACCATCGCCGGGGTCGACACGACACGAACCTGCCGAAAGCATCTGTATCATGTATTCATATACGCACAAATATACGTGTATAAGAATTTTTGACGCTACGGAGAGCGATGGTTGCAGCCAGCATTCGGGCGAAGGGAAGCAGGTCAGCATGTGTGACATGATTCGTGGGTTCAGAGCGAGTCGCAAAACGTGTCGCGAGCCACATCGTGAAAGCCGCACGTTGTAGTTAGCGAAAGTACTCTCACAGTTGACAGTGAGAAGTCGTGACGGCCACTGCAAGCGCATGCACAACACAACAAATCAAAACTATTCACTGTATCCCTTGCACCGCTACTGTACTCGCATGCAGTACAGCACCGGAGAAGCATCGTTTGGTTTGCGCGGGTTGGAACATGTTGACGCGGACCCCTCGTTTATTTTTCCAGTACTCAGTGCTCGTGCATCTGTTGTCCGGTGATTCTCTGCCTCGCCCACCTCCCCCTCCACTGCTTCCTTCTCCAGCACCGGTTAGAGGACATGGATGCATCTGACAAGAGCCTGAGTGCAGAGGCCGCCGCGGGGTCATGTGCCTTTGTGCCTTTGTGCTTCGCTGCTGCTCCGCCCATACGTGTTGCATCTCATCATCCTCTTCAACTGTGCCTCTCTCCATGTATCTCCCCCTCCAGCTCCTCTCCCCTCCACCCTCCTCCCTCCCCCCTCCTCCTGCTGTCTGCTCATCTCCTGGACCTCCTTTCTTCTCCCCCCCCCCACGCCAAAGTCCCCGTACATTCCTGGGTCAAGCAGAAAATTACTGTCCCACCTTCCCAAGCATGGAGAGGAATTGTTATCTAGTGATCTTCGGCCCATACTGGGGGCCACTGGGGCCGTCTTGGGGCCCTCTTGGGCCGACTGGGGGCCCTCTTGAGAGCCTGTTGGGCCGTCTCGGGGCCTCTTTTAGGTCGCCGTGGAGCGTCGGGAACCAGAACAGACGAGAGCGCTGAAACGTTTGAAGCTTTTGAAGCATCAATGATTCTGACCTCGGCCCTCTTGGGGGGCCCCTGAGAGCTCTTTGGGCGTCTTGGGAGCCTCTTGCGCAGTGTTGATACCATATGGGCGTCTTGGAGCTTTCTGGGCCGTCTTTGAGAGAGCCTGTTCGGGCCCTCGTGGCCGTCTTGGAGCCCCTTGCCTCCAGATAAAGCTATGCAGGACGACGCGACAACACGCGCCAGCACGCGCAACGCCTCAGAGAATCCGTGCTTCAGGGGTTCGGGCCATTTCATTTTAGCCCTCTGGATTGAGGACGGAAAACTCGACGGGACCCGCGGACACTCCAACTAGTGCCTCGCGGAATTGTGGCAAAGTGTGGCGGCGAAACAGGTTCTAGTATGGGACTGGTTGGGCCACTTGCGTCTTGTGGGTCGCCCGCAACTTTTGGGGTGCGCGGCAGATTACCAATCACGATTCGTCAACTCGTCATCTGGCCAGGATGCCCGCAGCTGCTCTCCGATGCTGTCGTAGTCGAAGTTACCCTTCACAGCACTGATCACTGCTGCTCGCTCGGCCGGGGACAATCTGGATCTCTGCAGCAGTAACCACCCACGAAGCTGGTCGAGGGGAATCGCCCGATTAAAGTCGGTTCCGAAATCGGGATGCTTCCGAATCTCCTCCAGCCCCGTCTTGATGAAGTTCCAGAGCTTGAGGTTCAGCTGTCTTGTCTGGCCTTTTCGGCAGCGTCCTCGGGGCCCTCTAGCTCGATCTTGTAGAGGAACCAGTTCAGCTCTGTGTAGATCTCGTTCCAATCCTTGGCCCGTTGGGAGAGACGCTGCTGTCTCTGCTTCTTGAAATATTCGGTGTCAAATCCCTTGGCCCTTCGTGATAGGCCTCGTCGTCGCGGCTGATGTAACTCGGCATAGGCCTTCCAGTGTCGCGTCGCAGATCGAAGAACCATTTGGCCAAGTACTTGCCAGCGTCCTGGATGGGCTGCGCTCCAAGCTTTGCGCGACGTGTCTGAGCAACTCAGTGGCGCCATCGCCCCTCTCGATGCGGTCCCAGTCCACTTCCTTGGCGGCCTGTGTAGCTCGTCCCTCGAGTCGTCTCCACAGTCTGGGGCCGCATTCGTACCGTTCGTCACGCCGGGTCCCTCGGACATAGGCCTTGACGTCTCGCTCGTAATTGTCTACCGTGGTGAGGTCTCCGTTCCACTTCGGTACAATATAATCTCCATTGTTGTTCTTCGTCATGGTTTCGTAGAACGCTGTGGTCCGTGAATCGGTTGTTTTTGGAGCTTTGCAGCTTCGCTACCATGCAATGTTCCCGCTCGGACCACTGCCCTGAGATGAATCTTTGGATGCTGCTCTCTCTTCTCTCTCTCTCTCTCGCAACGTGCTAATCATATTTTCTGATGCTGGTGTCGGGGATGTACGGGCAGTGGGGAGCGCGAGGGTGATCGCGCGATGGTGATGCAAGGGAACTGCTACGGTTGTGGGCTAGCTCGCAATCCTGCGCCTCACAGGCACACACACACACCAGAAGTCCAGGGACACTCTGTCGCTGCAAAGGCTTGAGCCGAGACGGTTTCGGTAGAAACTTCTTGGGAGCACTTGAAGCATATATCATGAGTTTCTGGGGCTTGGCTCCACGAGGCTCTCGGGGAGACTATTCAGCATGGCTAAGCTGCTAACGGAGTTGGGAACACGGTGCGCCGTGAAACGCGGATATACGTAAGCGGGGGCTCCTTGTGAGCCCAGGCATGTACGTAGGTGAAGGCTCACACTCGACCTGTAGAGGCCATCTCTCGTAAGTAGGCTCTCGTCAGGCAGGCTCTGGGCTGTGAATTCCACCCTACGAGGCCACGAACCGTGTAAGGGGTGTGCCGACATGGGTGGCGGGGACGCATGTAAGCTGTGCCACTGGGGCGTTGTGTAGAGCTCCCTATGTGGCCACAAACCGCGAGGGATATGAACGGGTGGCCGAGGCGCATGTAAATTGTACCTCGGGGGCTTTCGGTGAAGCTCCGTATGAGGCCACGAACCGCGTGAGGGGTGTGCCGTATTGGGTGGCGGGGACGCATGTAAACTGTACCACTGGGTCCTTCGGTTGAGCTTCCTGTTGGGCTACGAAGCGTGTGAGGGGTGTGCCGTAATGGGTGACTGGGTCGCATGTAAAGTGTGCCATTGGGACCTTCGGTGGAGCTCCCCTATGGTGCCACGAACCGTGTGAACGGTGTGCCGACATGGGTGGCGGGGGTGCATGTAAATTGTGCCACTTAGGCCTCCGGTGGAGCTCCCTATTGCGCCCAGAACCGTGCGAGGGGTGTGCCATAATGGGTAGCGGAGACTGATGTACATTGTGGCATTCATGCCTTCGGTGGAGCTCCATATTGCGCCACGAACCGCGTGATGGGGTGTGCCGTAATGGGTGGCGGGGACGCGTATGACATGGATTATTGGGGCTTTCGGTGTAGCTCCGTATGTGGCCACGAAACGTGCGAGGGGTGTGCCGAAATGGGTTGCGGGGGCGCATGTAAACTGAGCCACCGTGGCCTTCGGTGGAGCTCCCTATGGGGCCACGAACTGTGTCAAGGGTGTGCCGTAATGTGTGGCGGAGGTGGATGTAAATTGTGGCAGTGAGGCCTTCGGTGGAGCTCCCTGTGGTGCCACGAACCGCGTGAGGGGTGTGCCGTAATGAGTGTCGGGGACGCATGTATATTGAGCCATTGGGGCCTTCGGTTGAGCTCCCGATGGTGTCACGGAGCGTGTGAGGGGTGTGCCGAAATTGGTGGCGGGGGCGCATGTGAACTGTGCCACTGGGACCTTCGGTGTAGCTCCCTGTGGTGCCATGAACCGTGTGAGCGGTGTGCCGACATGGGTGGCGGGGACGCATGTAAATTGTGCCACTGGGGCATTCGTGGGGGCTCCCTATTGCGCCACGAACCGCGTGATGGGGTGTGCCGTATTGGGTGGCGGGACGCATGTAAATTGAGCCGCCGTGGTTTGCGGTGAAGCTCCATATGGGGCCACGAACCGCGTGAGGGGTGTGCCGACATGGGTGGGTGGGACGCATGTAAATTGTGCCATTGGGGCCTTGGTGAAGCTCCTTATGGGGCCACGAAACGTGTGAGGGGTGTGCCGCAATGGGTGGCGGGAACGCATGTAAACTGTACCACTGGTGCCTTCGGTGGAGCTCCCTATTGGGCCACGAAACCTGTGAGGGGTTTGCCGTAATGGGTGGCCGAGGCGCATGTAATTTGTACCTCTAGGGCCCTCGGTGGAGCTCCCTGTAGGGCCACGAACCGTGTGAACGGTGTGCCGACATGGGTGGCGGGGACGCATGTACATTGCGCCATTGGGGCTTTCGGTGGAGCTCCGTATGGGGCCACGAACCGTGTGAGGGGTGTGCCGAAATGGGTGGCGGGAACGCGTGTAAGTGCCCATGGGGCCTTCGGTGGAGCTCCCCTATGGAGCCACGGATCGTGTGAGGGGTGTTCTGAAGTGGGTGGCGAAGACGCATGTAAATTGTGCCATTGGGGCCTTCGGCGGAGCTCCCTATGGGGCCACGAATCGTGTGAGGGGTGTGCCGCATTGGGTGGCGGGGACGCATGTGAATTGAGCATGGGTGGCGGGGGCGCATATGAATTGCGCCACTGGGGCCTTCGGTGAAGCTTCCGATGTGGCCACGAACCGTGTGAGGGGTGTTCCGAAATGGGTGGCGGGGACGCATGTACACTGCGCCACTGTGGCCCTTGGTGAAGCTCCCTATGGGGCCACGAATCGTGTGAGGGTTGTGCCGTATTGGGTGGCGGGGACGCAAGTGAGTTGAGCATGGGTGGCGGGGGCGCATATGAATTGCGCCACTGGGGCCTTCGGCCGAGCTCTCTACGGGGCCACGAACCGTGTGAGGGGTGTTCCGAAATGGGTGGCGGGAACGCACGTACACTGCGCCACTGGGGCCCTTGGTGAAGCTCCCTATGGGGCCACGAATCGTGTGAGGGGTGTGCCGAAGTTGATGTCGGGAACGCATGTAAACTGTGCCAACTGGGCCTTCGGTGGAGCTTCCTATGGGGCCTATGGGGCCACGAGCTGCTGATTATGATGCTAATGCTGTTGCTGCGGCTGCTGCTGCTGACGACGACGATGATGATGATGCTGAGGATGAGGATGAGGATGAGGAGGATGAGGAGGAGGAGGAGGATGATGATGATGCTGATGCTGATGCTGATGCTGATGCTGATGCTGTTGCTGATGCTGATGATGACGACGACGATGATGATGATGATGATTGATGATGATGATGATGATGCTGATGATGATGATGATGCTGATGATGCTGATGATGATGATGATGATGATGGTGATGGTGATGGTGATGGTGATGGTGATGGTGATTGTGATGATGATGATGATGATGATTGATGATGATGATGATGATGATGATGATGCTGATGCTGATGATGCTGATGATGATGATGATGATGAGGAGGAGGAGGAGGATGGTGATGGTGATGTGATGATGATGATGATGATGATGATGATGATGATGATGATGATGATGATGATGATGATGATGATGAGGAGGAGGAGGAGGAGGAGGAGGAGAAGGAGGAGGATGGAGGATGGAGGATTGAGGATGGAGGGAGGAGAGGGATGAGGCGGAGGAGGCGGAGGAGGAGGAGCAGGAGGAGGATGAGGATGGAGGATAGAGGATGGAGGGAGGAGAGGGATGAGGCGGAGGAGGAGGAGGAGGAGGAGGAGAAGAGGAAGGAAGGAAGGAAGGAGCGCGGGGCGTTGTCTTTTTAAAACGAGGACCAACACCACAGGATGGTCGGGAACAAAACCAACAACCATAGCGAGCATGGCATTCGACGAGATCGGAAACATGACAAAACACGGAGAGGATAATGCTGACATTGTTGATTGATGCCATCTGGGACCACGGGTGCTTCATCCTCGGACCAAACGGGGCCGAGTCGAGGCGCGTCGATGCGCGGATGCCCGAACGATTGGGCGGAATGCCCGAAGCCCCTTTCACATTTCCAAGTAGGTGGCGCAGCCACCAGCTGGCGTTCTGTTCCGAATCGGACGACGCGGGGGGTATTGGAAAAGAGGGGATGGCAAAACACATTGCTGCATGCGGCTGGTTTGGGCCCCGCCGGCGGGCGGGCCCTTTATTCGATACAATGGCCGCTTTGGGCGCCGGGAGGCGCTCGGATGACCAGCCGCTCCGTGCAGCTGGATCATTGGCCGCCCCCTGTTGCCCATCCCACACCCCCGCGCTCGCCTGCCCAGACCAGAGACGGCGACGATCCGAGGCGGGGATTTGTCCATCACCAACGCCGGGGGAACCGATCTTCCTTGACTCCTGGAGGCGCGTATGGATATGTTCTCTGTATTCGAGCCCCTCCCTATACACCGCCCCCCTGGGGTCATGGGAGACCTGTCCCCAAGGCGGTGGATACGGACAATTCCACGCCTCGCAGACGGTGGCGGTGCCACGGGGTGCCCTCTGCGCAGCGGTGGCCCCCCGTGCCCCCGAGGCCGCGCCGTCCGCCCTGGGCCTCGGCGGCAGGGCTGTGCCGGCAGCCGCCGTGGTCGCCTCGGCCGCCTCGGCGAGCGCCTCGCTGAGCGCGGCGGGCGTGCCGCAGGCGTCGCCGCCGCCGCCGCTTTTGGTCGATCGAGGGTCGGGGACCGATCGTCGAGATTTCTTTTGCTGTCTCCGTGTGTGACGAACGAGGTACATGCACCCACACCCCTAGGGGGGTCGTTGGGAGAAGGACTGGCTGTAGGTGTGGGTGCGGGTGGTCGGGCCCTGGGGGACGCTCCCGTTCGAGCGGGGACCCCACAGCCACGACGCGCCGACGGCTCTCCAGCCCCCCGGCGCGGTGTGCCGCGCCGTGGCGAGTGGGGACCCCCGTCTGGGGCAGCGTAGTCCTGGCGTTGGCTGCTGATCGCAGAGTGCCCGTCGACGGCTTGTCGGGGGCGGCCAAGAGGGGGTGATGACTAGGGGCGGGTGGATATCATGGCGGGGGCCATGATGGCTTCCCAGATTTATTTCATGCCGCCTCTTCTTATTTCGAGACGTCCCCGGCCCCCCCCGTGGGCCGCGCACATGCCGCTGGCCATGATTTGCCCCCTCCTCCTGGGCGCCCCCCTCTCGGACGCCCCCGAAGAGTGCCCGTCGACGGCTTGGCGGTAGCAGCTCGGCTCAGCGTGTGCGCGCATGCATTCGAACTTAGTTTCGCCTACGTCAAGAGGGGAGGGGGATAGCCAGGTCGGACGAAACGGGTGGGATTGGGAAGGGAAGGGCACGAAATCTGCTGCGTTCGCCCGGTTTCGGCCCTACCGCCAGGCCCATTCCTCGATATATGGCCGCCTCGAGCATGAGGAGGCGCCAGGAGAAACAGCTGCATACAGCTGACCCGTGCGTGTTTGAGTTGTTCAAGATTGAGCCGTTGCTCGCGTGCTCGAGGCCGTCCCCACGACTGCTACCTTTCCTTTCCCCCTCCCCGTTCCACATCCCTTCCTCCGCCCCTGACTTCTCCCCCTCCTCCCCCTCGCTAGACCGCGCGGCACGGCCCGACGTTGTCCCACCGTTGCGTCCAGACACGGAGCGACAGAGCGCGACACGCCCCGACACCCCAGCATGACCGGACCTCCCTTTCCTCCCCGCGGCCCCCTCGGCGAGAGAGGGAGCGAGAGAGAGGGCAGAGCAGGGATGCCGGCAGGCCACGACCGAGTCCGGCGCCCTGGAGGCCCCCCCCTCCCGGCGGCCAGGCGCCGCCGCCGCGGCGGTGGTCACCGCAGTTTATGTTCTTGCCAGCGGAGCCACGGGCTGAGTATGTTCCTGGGCCAGGTCCCCTGCCTTGATATAGAACCTGATAACTTTATATTCTGGTCGACGGTGCACTTTTTGAGGTGTCGGCGTGTCGCCCGTGGCGGCCAGTTCATCTCAAACAGACATTGCGGACTGAAAAACAAGGTGGCACGCCTCCCGAGCGCCCTGCGCCCCGACCCTGCTAGACCTGGCCCCCCAGGCATACTCAAGCCACTGTGCTCTCGCCACGGAGCAGACGGGTCCACGATCATGTTCTATAATGTGTCATCGGGCTCCTGGGGCCCGCTGCGGGCCCCCCCGGCACTGTTTTGAAACGGCTCGGAGCGAAGAGTTGGCCCTGTGGGCAGCCCCTGGATGCTCGTGTTGGGGACCTTCCCAGGGCCCACCTAACGGATCTGTTCGACTCTAGTTGGACCCCAGTTCGTTTCAAGTTCGATTCAACTACGACAGAGGTTCGACTCAGGTTCGACTCAAGGTCCATGCGAATCGACGGACGTTCGACGCAGCTTCGACGCACGAGTGGAGCGAGTGGCTCCAGGAAGATCCCCAGAATGAGCGACCAACATTTCCCTCAGGACTCGTTTGCTTCATGCCAATGTTGCTTTCCCCAGACATCCAAAATCTTGAACAAAGATCGAGACGGTCGTCTGGGTAGAAGGGCACGACGCAAATCAGATATCAATCAAGATCGCTCTGGATTCCCGTCAAAATTCTGGCCAGAACTCCAGGATGAGTCCAGGGGGTGAATTTAGCCCCGGGACATCCGCGCACCAAAGGTCAGCCCTGCCTGGGGCCGGTCTTGCGTGTAGCCGCGGGGGGAGGCGTGGTCCAGGGCTGGTGGTCCCTCTGCTCGCTCTCGCGGAGCTCGCGGCGGGGACTCGTCGCGCCGAGTATGGGCCCGTGACGGGCCCCGGCCAGCAGGGCTCGGTCTGGGCGGCGCGAAGGCCGCGGCGACCTCGGCGGCGACGGCGACCGCGTCCTCGGCGGCGGCGGCGGCGGCCGCCGGCGGCGGCGGCGGCAACGGCGATGACGGCGGCGATCGCGACCACGGCGGCGGCGGCGGTCGAGCTCGGAGCCGCCCAGAGAGGTCGAGCTGCGGCGGCCGTCCCCGCGGCGACGCCTCGGCCGCTCGAGGACGCCGCCCCCCGACGGCTCCGAGGCGCCCTGCCTGGTGCCGGGCGTCGGCGTTGTTCTGTCTTCGTCATCCCGTCGTCGCTCCGTCGTCGTCGTCGTCGCTCCAGCGTCGTCGGCGTCGCTCCAGCCTCGTCGTCGAGTCGTCGCCGCTCCGTCGTCGTCGTGGTCGTCGCTCTGGCGTCGCCGTCGCTCCAGCTTCGTCGTCCTCTTCGTCCAGGTGTCGTCGCCCCGTCGTCGTCGTCGTCGTCGTCGTCGTCGTCGTCGTCGTCGTCGTCGTCGTCGTCAGTGCCGCCGCTCCGTCCCCGCTCCGTCCCAGGAGATCGCCCATCCTGGATCGCCGCGGCGTTTTTGCCAGGAGTGCCCAGCAACACAAATGCTCACACGTATGATCAGGGCGCTCCAGAACGGGCCTCGACTTCTGCGCATCTCGCCGTCGGAGGAGAAGCCAGCAGAAGCAGAACGACGGCTGATCCGCCAGTGGAGTGTCGGCAGAACGTGGCGGACCTAAACGTTTTGGAATAGGACTCTATTTTGAGCCAGCCACATGCCACGCAGTCCTATGTGTTTGTGTCTTGTCCTTCCTCTCTCTCTCTCTCTTTCTTTTTTTGTTTCTCTCTCTCTCTCTCTTTCTCTCTTCTCGCTCTTCTTCACATCCTTGTTGCCGTCGCGCGTGATTCGCATTTTCGCCGATTGTGTGTAGCGGGGATGTGCACATGGTCGCGGTGTAAACGTATCCCTCTCAGTTTCGCTTCCCCACACTCTTTGTTGTTTTCCGCCGCCTCATCGTCCTCGCCATTGTCCTCCGCTGAGGCTTCGAATTCATTATACAGCTGGCGCGATGGTTAAGAACAACCCTGGTCTTGGATTGGTACCCTTTATGTTCTTCGTGTCGGGTCTCTCCAACTTGAAATGCATGTAAGTCCTAACGTTTCGCGTTTCCCCACCAGCTCATCTGTAAACGATTCCCAGGCGAGTTGCTTTGACCACGGGAGTGTAGCAGCATGCGTCCAGCCAGCCATCAAGGCCTGTGGGGATGTTTCGCCCCAAGGAGCCTCTTGGATGAGTCTTGGAGCCATCTTGGGGCCTCGGGGAGGGGACGGGACGAGGTGACCTCTTCCATTGCTCTTCTTGCCTTGCAGGCATCCCGCCGTGCTCGCAGACTGTTGAGATACTGTCAGGTAGTCCGTCACTCCCCACCACTGCTCCCCCTAAACATGAGTTACCCCCCGCTCCCTACAAGTGCCCGCGAGGAGTTTCCACGAAGCCCCAACGGGCCCAAACGCTTCAATGGGGCAATGATCGTGGCAGTCACAGTGGTTCAGTCGTTGTCGCCGTCGCAGTCGCCCCCCTGTAGCCACTTGTGGGCAAGATTATTTAGCTCCAGCTGGGCCTGGTGAAGCTTCTGGAAAGCTTAACTATTTCGCAGATGCCTCGCCTCTTCTTGATTGCCAGCCTAATCGTGCCCGCGCCGCTGCTGGCCTGGGCGCGGGCCCGGCCTCCTGCTTCCAGCGTGATGCGGTGCCGGCTTCGCAACGTTTAATGATTGCGGCGTGGTCCGATATTGACATACTTTCTGTTGAGTCACTGGTGCAGTCAACCCGCATAGTAAGGATGGGCAATTTTCCCAAGGGTACCCTTGCATCCTTGCCTCCTCGGTCCATTCTTGGCCACTTTCGCTGGCCGCGCCCAGCTCGAAGAGCTTCGAAACGGCCCTCCAAGGCTCTTGCATCCGTATCGTGCGTCCTTATGATACGGGCTGACTGTACGGGCAAACATTGCGAGTACGTGTGTGCCGTAAGCCTCGTTTCGCCCTAAGGTGAATGTACACACGAAGAGGCGATGTGGTGCAGTTCGCTACGCAGCTCATGAAATGTATTCGGCTATCTAATGGCCTTCGGCCTATCCCGCCACCGTTCCTGGGTTGTTGGTCAGAGTCCTCAGGGGTGCGTCGTGGGGTCTCTTCGGATCGCTCTCGGCGGCCACGGGGGGGCAGTTTGCGAGCCGCTTGTGAGCCGGTGGATCGCTTCTTGGGAGCCTCTTGGGGGCCTGTTGGGGCTTCCTGGGGGCCTCTTGGGGGCCTCTTGGGAGTCTCTTAGGGGGCCTCTTGGGGCCTCCTGGGGGCCTCTCAGGGCCGAGGGCTCGAACTGTCTGTTCAGGTCCCTGGTTTGGGCCCCCTCTCGGAGCCGGCGTGGGGGCTTCTTTGGCCGTCCTGGAGCCTTCCTGGAGCCGTCTTGGGCCCTTCTTGGAGGCCTCTTCAGTTGTCTTGGGGCGATACTGGAGGCCTCTTGAGCCGTCTTGGGGCGTCGGCAAGGCGAAACGGCGAGAAGTCCAACACCAGTCAAAAACCTATGGAACATACATGATTTGTGCATTTTGAGCCCCTCTCGAGGGTGCTCTTGGGGCACCCTTGGAGCTTCTTGAAGGCTTTCTTTGGCCGCCGTATCAGGAATGTTCCCCTGTAGCTCGCATGGTTGGCGGAGTTGACGGAAACAGCGCTGCCATTGGCGACATTTGTTCGATTTGAAGATGGTGGGCACACATGTTCTGATACACTTCCTTTGAGGAATGAGAACTGAATGAAGACGCATTTTTTCGCGTGTAGGTAGATGCGGGCCACTTGAGGGGGACGCTGTGCGGACATACAGCTTCAAGCATTGAACGTTGCAGGGTCTTGGGAAGAGGCCAACCAAGTTGGAGGGTATCATTCCAGCGTATCGCAAAACGCATTCGAGACCGAGAAAGGGGGGGCCCTTGTCTAAGTGAGGGAACTGAATCTGAAAGTCGCCAGCAAGCGGGCTACGCCCTCCTTTTAACAGGGGAGGTCCGTTTATTTTCCTTTCAAAAAGAAAATAGACTCTACCCCCCCCCCCCTCAGTTTTAGGATCACTTTTCCGTGTGGCAATTTACATATGATTCTGCCCCATCGTCCATCCTACCTGTGACATCACACTATCACAGCCAGGCCGGTATCACTCCCCCTCGCTATCCCTTGCAACAAGTACTATGCGCGCCCTCTCGTTTCTATCAGAAACCATAAGTTTCCAATAATCCATTGCAACAAATGAGACGAAGTGCACACGCGTGCGTCGTCGCGCGCGCATGCGGAAATCCTTCACTAGCCTTCGATTTCGGAAGGATGTCAAAATCGAGTTTCCAATATATATATATATATATATACAAACACGCAGGGTTTCGCAACACTGATCTGCTAAACAAAATTGCGCGCGCTCTTGCGAAATCTTAAGAAAACCACGTGTTTTCAAGATTTGCAAGACATACTAACAAACGGGCTTCGCGCGCGCATGTCGAAATCTTTAGAACCCCCGTGCGCGCGTGCCGTCGCGAGAATCCTCTGCAACAAACGGGACGAAGTGTGCACGCGCGCGTCGTCGCGCGCGCATGCCGGAATCCTTCACAAACTCTCGGTTTCGGAAGGATTTCAAAATTGAGTGTCCAAAAAACATATACAAACACAGGGTTTAGCAACACGGATTTTCAACGAAAGCGTGCGCGCGCGCTCTTGCGTCGTCGTCGTCGTCGCCGTCCTCCCTCCTCCCTCGTCGTCGTCGTCGTCGTCGCCGTCGTCGTCCTCGGTCTTTCTTCGTCGTCGTCGTCGTCTTGGCGTCGTCGTCGTTCCCGTCGTCGTTGTCGCCGTGGTCGTCCTTCCTTCCACGTCGTCTTCGTCAGCGTTTCGTCGTTGTCCCTCGTGTTTCGTCGCCGTCGTCGTCGTCGTCGTCGTCTTCCCTCCTCCCTCGTTGTCGTCGTCGGCGTCGCCGTCCTCCCTCCTTCTTCGTCGTCCGCGTCGTCGCCGTCCTCACTCCTCCCTCGTCGTTGCCGTCGTTGCCACCGTCGTCGTCCTCCCTCCTC